GGGCGTGACTTTGCCCTTAGCTCTGAGAAAATTCCAGCTAGTGACGACCGTGTTTGACGATAGTCTCACCGAGCAAATAGCGGCGATGATAGCAATGTCTTTTGCTGAATATAGTGTGGTATTGGCTTAACGCCATTTCAAATACTGCACGGTTACTTAAAGAGATATACCCTCAGATTTAGCGTTCATTCCACACTGGGTCAAGTAGCTCAAGAGCTTTGAAAGTTTTTAAAAATTACTATCGTCAGTACAAGTACAGGAGACGATTTCACATTTTCCCCCTTGCAGTTCTTTTTTCCCCTTTTTTCAAAGAAAACATCCTGACACTGTCCAAAACACCCACCTGTGAAAGACAACCACTTTTCTCCTCGACGTAACATGTCTGTCTCGGACAGTTTGGTTATTAGGTTTTTAAAAATGCCATTAGGGATTCAAAACAAGGTCATGGGAATTATAGCCCAGATAGATATCAACGGTTAAACGCCTCGACCATTTTTCTAAATTCTACTTTAAATAATGCTTAGTGTTGTAGTTGTAAAACGTATGAATAAGAAACACAACATGACGATATTTTGTACTCCTAATGAAATTGTCAATTTTAAAAGGGCAACAAACATAAAAACAACAAAACCCCAATGATTTCCAATAAGACAAATAGTTCCACAAAACACACATTTTGTTTAATTTAAGAAAATATGTACATTTTCGGGAAACGCCTTCAACATAATCACACTACCTTATACACGAAGTACAAACTAAAAACGGAATTTCTCATCTATCACATGAATTGCTGTATTTTCTACTGTGTAAAATGCGCTAAGGAAGAGAAACAGTAATCTAGATAATATATAATATATCCGGTACTTTTAATACAAGTATTCAATCTCTCATTCTCTCTCACTCCTCCCGTTACATTGTTAATGCGTTTATTACCCATATTCACATCTCACTTTCTGTTTGTCGTCTAGCTGTTTGTCTGTTTGTCTGTCACTCCCCCCTCTCTCTCTCTCTCTCTCTCTCTCTCTCTCTCTCTCTCTCTCTCTCTCTCTCTCTCTCTCTCTTTCTCTCTCTCTCTCTCTCTCTCTCTCTCTTTCTCTCTCTCTCTCTCTTCCTCTTCCTCTCTCTCTATATATAAATGCAATATATGTATATCTCACTCTCTCTGTGTAAAACAACCCCCCCCCCCCCCCCCACACACAAACACACACACTCACGCATGCATAAATAAACACCCATAAACCCAGTTACACATTCAAACACATTCACGCACTGAACTGACACAACACTTTGATATTTACAAATGACTGAAGGACAAATAAACAAAACTACCAGTTATTAACAATACGCAATACAATTAATAATACATACTTACATAATAACTCGGGGGGGGGGGGGGGTAAACTTACCGTGTTTACAAGCAAATACAAATATATCATTGTTTTCAATTGATTTGCAAATAAGAAATGTAACAACTCCCTCAACCGTGTGTTTTAATTTTGAATCAATAATAAGTGTTACGACGCAGTGGGATCAGGTGCTTGATAATTTTTTACAGTACTATCAGAACGGGTTTTTTCTTTCTTTGTTGGTTTTCTTTTTTTTTTGGGTAAGTATTTTACGGCTCTCAAAAAATGCATATATATATATATATGTATATGAGTGCACCAAGCATTTTCAGTTGGAAGGAAATTTTGAATTTTGTCCGGGTGGCGGCCAAAATCTACTCTTATCGATTTCGGACCACCAAGGGATCTTTAACGTACGCAACTTGCCCTTGTCCCAGAAGGCTAGGTGTAGATCTTACTTACGATAAGATCAGGGCTGTGGCTGAAAGACAGCAGTAAGAAGGAGCTAAGGAGAAGCAGTACACAGGCTGCAGAAAGGTCAGGAGCCCAGAGGAAGGGGCAATAGGGGTGAGGGTGTGGGGGCAGAAACTGGAGACTAAAGCAGACGACGGAACCTTGTTAGTGATTGAGAGCAGGAAAAGATAGGAAAGGAGACAATTTTAGAAACAAAAATTGTTCAGTCGCTTCCCGAATTCGAACTCGGGACCTTTGAATGAGAGGCAAACATCTCAACCTCTAGGCCACGAGAGCCCCGTCATCTTAAAAGTTATTTATTTGCCTAGCTTTAAATGAAAAAATTTTTTTTTTATTTTGTACAGAAGTCGAGATATTTGCTATTGAAGGGGGTGAGCCTGTTTTCAGAAGTAAAATGAGTGAGAAAATGGCCCCCAAAGTTTGGTGACATCCATAGCCTAAGTTTAAGAATCCTTGGTAACTGCAAATTTAGCATTTTCTGGTTCCTTTTTTCAACAATTTTTTTTCATAAATTCCAGACTGTTTTTGAATGGGCATACAAGGTGTTGATCCAAAAAACAAACAAAAAATAGAAAAAAAGTCCAACCCTGCCGAAAAAAGCCCATTTCCCTTATTTCATTATTTTGATGAGTGCCTGATTTCACCAAGATGCCTCACATATTATTCTTGAATATCAAAGCCTTTGGCCTTGGCACACCTTTTCATAATGACTGCAATCAGTTCGATGTATATACAAATCTTTAATCTCCATGATCCAGCCAACTGTATGCTTTACATTGCTGCTATCAGGGAAGAATAATTAACTTTTAATTTAATTAACAAAAACAAAGCTTTAACAACAATTCATTTACTCAAAAAAGATCAAATTAATAGTGCAATTCTATTACAAAAGTGTGTGGTTAAAGTTTTAGTTTGAATGCCTCATTTTCTTATTCACAAATGAACCAACTGACTTCAGGAATTGAAAAAAATTAGCAAAACAAGGTAAAAAATGATTTCAATTAACAGAAACTGATGAATAATACTTGGGTGCAACAGCACCTAGGTCCCCGCATAGCTAACCCTGAAGAAAATTTTATTGAATTATAGAATTACGTCACATAATTCATAATCACCTCGATAGCACAATGTTTCTGCGGGGGGCTGTACAAGTTAAAATGTGTTGAATACAGAAAAAGATTTACAATTAATGACACCATAGCTCATTACGGGAGATTTTACTGTAGCGACTACATGACAGGCAACGTAAACCTATTTATGTTGCCGCCCCCAGATGTCATCATTCAATAAAAGAAGACTGTTGGTTCCTGCTCTCGTTCAAGACCATGTCAAACAAACATTTCTTTGTAAAAGAAAAGGTCATTAAAGGTCTGTAAAACATGAAAGAAAGATGAGAAAAAAAGAGAAGTAGTTATTTGGACCTAAATAACATGCTGTCTAAGACCCACAAGATGTTTCAACATAACGATAGGACAACGCCTGCTCTTCAATCTGTTTGGGACTACAGAATCGATTTATATGACCTCACCAAGGTACTCTAGACTCAGCCAATACGATAATTTCATGAGTCTCAACATTTAATTATGGTCAATTAGCTGAAACTACCGGCTGAAAAGAATTGGGCGTTGGCAGTTTATGAAAATATCTACTACGCTGGAGTACATTCACATCAGAAGGTTGGTTTTAATTGATGCAAATGTCTTAATTTGCAACCAAAGAGTTTTTGGAGTTAAAAAAAAAATTCTAAACTAGGTTCAGTCCATCTCAGCAAAACATCAGACATTAACCCTCCCTCTACTTCGTGTTCCCAAAAGGTTAAAAGAGTCCTTTAAAATAATTGGTTCTTTGCAACCAGTGGATGAATGTGCTAAGACGCCAAGAAAACTCGTAAGCCATTAGTACTCTTATTGTGTGCCATATTAATCAAGGGAAAAAGCGGCTGCTTGGACTGTTTCTATCCCAGCAGAGACAGAAATCCTAATTCCACACTCTGTTTTTATAACGTACTTGTATGTTTTACACCCCCATCTACACAGTTTAAATCATTCAGGGCTATGTGCTCCCGACCCTGCCTGTCAGGGCCAACACACAAGCAGAAAGACCAAGATACTTGATACAAATTTCTGCCCATTCAGGAACCGAACCAGGGTCTTCTGTGAGTGACAACGAAGCACCTTACCACTACACCACAGACGCAGGCATCCCACACCCTAATATAATACTAACTTCATTTATTAGAACTGCAGTGGACTGAGTCTTGAAAACAACAACAACAACAACAACAACTACAACAACAAAACATTCTACATATCTCTACCCGAAGTAGCATCACAAATACTTTTCCAGACTCCCAATTCCCAAGCTTGTGTTAAATACACCTCGCTGAAACGTGTTTGACTGTTCGTGAATAGCTGTCACGTCCCTTTTAATACAGTGTTGTTATTTAAGAGGTAGAATCTATCATCGGCCCTCGCCGATAGGACTGGAAAAGAGCTTCAACGAAAGAAGCAAAGTTTAAGCATACAAAACATAAAGACAATGTTTGATATAAAACTTTCAGCAAGTACGTTACAAGCAAATAATGATTGTAAGTATGATGATGATAATAATATTGATAATAATAAATTAATAATAATAATAACAATAATAATAATAATGTTGTTTGTTGTTGTTGTTTTCAAATCCCTTTAGCTGCGAGCATTTCGCTCTTGGCAGCGCAATGCCCCTCCCAAGAAACCCTATGTCCTTGTCATCAGGTCAACGCCAGAGAATAATAATAATAATAATAATAATAATAATAATAATGATAATAATAATAATAAGAATAATAATAATGATAATATTAATAACAATGATAATAGTAGTAATAATAACAATACTACTAATACTAATCATAGCATCATAATTACAAAGACATCATTATAATAACATACTTTTGAAAAACGACTCCGTATTATAAACTGTACTGTTCCTCAAAACTGCTCCTTCCCTGACTCAGAACTCAGACTCCGGACTCAGGACTCAGGACTCAGGACTCAGGACTCAGGACTCAGAATTCAGACTCCAGACTCAGAACTCAGAACTCAGAACTCAGAACTCAGGGCTCGGGGCTCAGGACTCAGGACTCCGGACTCAGAACTCAGGACTGCGGACTCAGGACTCAGAACTCAGGGCTCAGGACTCAGGACTCAGGACTCAATCTTCCACCCTGACAGCGTTCTTGATCTGCTCTATGACCTTGTCCTGGTCCACTGTCTCCAAGATGTGTGGTGCGTTGACCAGGACCCCGAGTGTCCCGCCCAGAGACACCAGGACGTAGACGACCATGAGCAGACGATCCAGCACGCTGGCCATGTACTTCCAGTCGTCGAGAACCTGGGAAAGGGAAATAGGGGGAGAATGTTGCTGCTGTTCTTGGTGTTTTGTTAAGTTGTTGTTGTTAATGTCGTTGGTGGTATTTTTGTTGTTGTTGTTGTTGTTGTTGTCGTTGACGTTTTCGTTGGGTTTTTTGTTATTGTTGTTAATGTTCTTGTTGTTGTTGTTGATGTTGCTGCAGCTGCTGTTGTTGTTTTTGTTGTTGTTGTTGTTGTTTCTTTTATTCTTGTTGTTGTTCGCGTTGTTGTTGTTGTTGCTGCTGCTGCTGTTGTTGTTGTTTTTAATTCAGGGGGAAAGATGTTGGGATTACTTTTATTCATTTATTTACTTTTCTTCTTCTTTTTATTGCCGCTCTGTTAGCCCCTTGATATCATAGTGGCGTACGGGGTGAATGGCCTTGGTTTGAATCCCACACTGGGTGCGGATTTGAACTGTGGTCATTTTGTGGAGCTTCCAGAGCTCTTAACACATTTGTTCCGGTCTTTTCTTTACGAACTGCTGTAAATTTGAAACTGAATTAATAATAAAATGATATAGGAATAATTAATTTCCTTGAGCAAGGTTACATTTCGTGGTTTTAAAATAAATATATTATTATTTTAAATTAAAAAACCCACCATCTTTCAAAATTCTTCTCCTTTACGGTGTTAACACTACAACACCCCCAGCAATATGTTGGGTAAGGGGAAAGGAGAAGGGTTGCAGGGGGGGAGAAAGGGAGGAGGGAGGGAAGACATTGAGCAACTTCACATTAGTAGCTGGTAGCGTGACCCTTATGAGGGTAGACAAAGAAATATTCGTGAACATCTCTGAACTCCGTCCGCTTTCTTAAAGGGAGGGGGGGGGGGGGGTGTCTACACCCCAAAAGTCTCGATTCGGCTCAATATTATGGAATTTGAGTGGTAGGCATTTTTAACTTCCTCATATTCTCCTACAACTATTTCATCACATAGGAACACCTAAAAGTCTTCTTTTTTCCCATACCGGGCATGTTTGTCACCACAAATACCTCATAAACACAATATTCCATTTTTCTTTATCGGCCGTTTTCTCAAAACGCGATTTTTTTCTATACTTTTTAAAAAATAACTCCATCATTTTTTATCCAATCTTCATAAAATTTTCACAGAATGAAGAGAAATTGTAATACAACGTATTTTCTCTCGAATTTTTGACACGTGGAATAGATTTTGGTTGGTGGTGTCTGGAGTGTGGATTTTCACGTGTTTTTTGCAAACTTGAATACTACCTATACTACACCGATTCGTTCAGGAAAAAATCAACAAACAGAATGTCAGATCTAATGTGTGCTAACATGCGTGCCAAAAAAAAAAACCGAGTCCATTTTAATGACCGGGAAGTGCGGTATTCATTACGTAAGACATGACAACAAAATCCAATATGGCCACAGTATTCGTGGAAACAAAACTTTTTTTTCAAATTTGATTGCGGATGTTAAGACTCCTTACTATACTTGGTATATGTGTGAAATGTGGTAAAATTCGGTCAACTAATACGCGAGATAGCCTCCAGGTGTACCCCCCCCCCCCCACTTAACGCACACTAGTAACGTTGTTGTTTGTCTTTGTCTACTTCCTGACTAAAACGTCATTGTTCGTAACAGGAGAGACAAACACATGGGGGCTGTCTGTGGATCTGATTCAGTCCTACATTAAGGTAAACTATTTACTAGAACACAAAGGGCAAAGGCCTTTAAGTCGTGCAGTGGTATTTTCCTCCTCTTTTTTTCTGCGGATAATTTTCTTATGTTTTTCTCTTTCAACTTTTGTTCTATCAAAGCGCTTCGTAACAGACAGTAGTTTTTTTATATTTTTGTTTTGTTTTGGGTTGGGTTTTTTTCGTCTTTCCTATCAAACAAGGGTATTGCCCTTATTTCCCCTCCTTTTATTTTTCTTTGTGTGTTACTCTCTAGCAAAATCTCAAATCATCGGCCTTTGTATGACTTGTATGTTTTAGAAGTGTCGTTAAATTGGTACTAATACAGCAACAACAACAAAAATCCCCTCTCTTCACACACTTCAAACACACATACCGTATCATAGTCCTCCTTATTCTTCATCTGATTGCAAATAAACTTGATGGCGTTGCTGGCGCTGTAGACTTCTTTGGTCATGATGAGAGGGTTGACTCTGCGAGGGGGCGTTGCCGGGAAGTCCAGAGTGACGTCACCGTCCATGCTGTCGTCTGACTGGGAGGCCCCGGAGTCCCGCAGCATGCAGTGATGGCCATTGGTAGGGAGATCGTGGATGTAGTCTACCATTGGGCTGCCTCCTGCATGGTCACAGTGGAAGATAGAATGAGAAGAGATGGGGTGAAATGAGAAGATCGAGATGAGATGAGAAGAAAACAGAAGAGATGATAGTGAGATAACATAATATAACATAAGATAAAACAGGACAAGACAAGATAGTAAGATAAGATAACACAAGATGACACAACACAACACAACACAAGATAAGACAGGTAAAGTAAGATAAAACAAGACAAGACAAGATAAGATAAGATAATATAAGACGAGGTGAGACATGGTAAGACACAATCTCGACAAACAAAGCTTTCCTGCGGTTTCTTTTCGTCCGCGTTTTCTGTCACATGCAGGACGAAAACCTCACCGTGGGGTTGCAGCTATCTTATTGGAACTGTAAAGGGTATAATGTGTTCATCGTATTGCGCAATGGCATGGGGATTGGAGGGTGAAGGGGTGATCGGGTGTTCAGTTTGTTTGTTTGATGGTTTGTTTGTTTGTTTGAGTAAATAGAAGCACATCGAAACAATAAAGGCCGTTTAGTGTTTTCGAAGAAGTAATATAGACGGGAAAAACACAGGGAAAGAATTTTTTTAAAAGTAAGCCTAAGAAACACCAAAGCTCCCTCCAACATCCCACCTACCTTCAGCAGATGCACGACTTCCAGAGGCGGATGACGCCATAAGCCCATGAGAACGACTGGTACTGAACTGGTGACGTCTGTTGTTTACACGGTCGTAGTCCCTGGAAGTGGAGACGGTCTAATATTTCAGGACAATGAACCTCGATAAGGTAATTAAGACATTTGAATAGGCATGAAAAAACAGTCTTGAATATCTAGATCTGACTGGTAACACTGCAGACATCCACGGCAAGGGTAGACCCAGAGTAAGCTTCATGTACTTGGAAAGCCTAAACAGATGGCAGGCGAGGGAAGATCAGGATAGCGTAGCTTATTTTCTAGAGCGTCTCAGCAAAAGAAAGAAAGGGGAAACATTATCACAGATGGTTGTCTCAGATCTGGCATTTGATGATGAAAAATGTATCCAAAACACCTGTATGCTATTGTTTGCATGTGACATCTCTTTTAACACATGCATTAAAAAAGAATATGACCACCAGCTTGAAATCCTTGTCACTTATATCTAGATGCCAAGTGAGAAAAATCGTCCACGGACAATAGTGCTGTGTGATTTTGAGGACACAAAACCTAGTTGGTGCTTCAAAGCGCAAAGTCAATATTCATGATACATTGGAAAACCATATTATGCCATATGCGAAGTTTTGTTTTATTTTGTTTTGTTTTTATATGTATCAAGTCCATGAGCAGCTTTGCCAGAAGCCAACAGTTCGGATCATTGAACTTAAACTAGGGACCTAATGCATGGTTCACTCACATGCAAGGATAACTCATAATTTATAATACTTTAAAATTATGGATATTTTCTGAACGGCACTTGTTACTGTGTGCTGTTGTCCTGCATTATTAATTGCTTTCGTTTGTGTGTTGTTATTTTATCTCGTTGGTAACTTATTTTCAGCTAAATTTGTGTTGATGCTTGCGTTCGGGGTTTTTGAAAGTCTATGATATACCTGGTTGTTTACGACTTCAGCCAATGCTCTTCCAAAACAACAACAACAAAATAAAAATGCACTATGGAGAAACATTTATTTTTTTCTTGTGGAAGGCAGAAATCTTAATCTACCTGCACCTGACGTTTTACAGTCACTGAATCATCCGGTAGCAAATTTGTGAGGAGCAGAGGGTCAGCTGGTGCGATAGCCATGTAAGCGGCCACAGGCCGGCAATCCTTCTCAAGTTACGAGATTTATTCTCGTTTCCGCGTGGTAGGTTCTTATTCCTCAAACCACCAGGGACCGCCCTGGCAATTTAACCGGCTTATTCAGTGTGAACTGAGTTTTAACAGATTGAAAACCGCTGCCCTATATTGCAGCTTAGCGCAAACTATCCTGTGGGAATTCCTCGACAGCAGCTGATCAAACCGGTAAAATAGATTCTTGTGTTTGGGGCCGGTAGAGCGAGGGAGACCGACGTATCTCCTGGGACAGGCTTTCGTTGTGCTAGGGTGTCCCGATTGGGGGGAGCTCTGGGGGTGAGTGACACTCCGCCATTGTGGGGCGCTGTAGGCGTAGAAAACAGGGTGCCACCCACACCCATTACCGATTTGAACCAAGACACTGCCTTCCTACTATTCGTAAGCATAATGTTGTTGTTTTTTTTTGTTTGTTTGTTGTTGTTGTTGTTTTGTTGTTTTTTTTGTTGTTGTTGTTTTTTTTCGGGGGGGG